TTAATACCCCTAAAGGTATGAAAACGTCTAGAATTTAAAATAATGTAAAGAAAGTTATTGTACACATCATGTACGTGTACTTGTGAAGAATTCACTTTTGAGAGGACGAAGGAAAAACAGACCATATATAATAATCGGTCAACAACAACGGATAAAATATAGTATAGATGACACTTAATAAATAATTAATTGATTTAAAGTAGGTGTCACCTATACTATATTTTATCCACAACAATTGCTATTGCCACCATTTACATTGATTGGTAGCGAAGATCCCGAGTAATGACCCCCAACTTTGATACCTGTCCCCTATATTAACGAATAAATGGAAAAATCTAATATGAATCATTATTCAATAACATTAAGAATTATATTGCAGACAAACCTCATTTGTGACATCAAAGACGCCTTGCTTGATCTTGTCGTATATGTCTTTAGCGGTATCAACGTATGCCTAATAAATAAATAATTATTTAATATATAATACATGAATAATTTAAAAGAAAATAGAAACAGTATTTATATTGTCTTACGTCTTCAACGTTTTCTGCAGTTTTTGCTGAAGTTTCCATGAAAAATAAGCCGTGCTGCCGCGCAAACGCCTCACCCTCTGCATAAGAAACAACACGTTTAGCCTCGAGATCACTTTTGTTCCCAATGAGCATTATGGTTGTATCAGAATTTGAATGTTGACGAGCATCTTCAAGCCAGATGAGAAGATGTTCGAAAGTTTCACGCCTTGAAAAAATAAAATGTGAAATATGATGAATAGAAATTATTCACCAAAAAATATGTTCACAACCCTGGCGATCTTATACCTAGTTATATCATAGACTATAGAAGTTTCCTCGAGTTAACACTTGAAATATGAATAATAAAACAGTTAATTGTAAATACCTAATAAAGCTCCAGCTGCACCCCGATAATAACTTCTCGTTATACTTCTAAAAGATTCCTGGCCAGCCTAATTATAGTAGATCATTATTATAAAAGCATTCAGTGTTTATCATTAAGACAAAGTAATTTACCGTATCCCAAATTTGGAGTTTAATTTTCTTCCCTTCAACCTATAAATAATGTTAACACAATATTGAATATAGATGTTTAATTTAATAATTAATTTCGTATATTTTTTTGCAATAAGTCTTACTTCAACAAAACGTGCCCCAAACTCTACTCTACAAATGTTAAATACGAATCAAATGTTATATAATATTTTAGCAAATAATACAATAATTTTTATAAAATTTACCCAATCGTCAAGTCATGAGCTGGTTGGAACCGTTTATCCGTGAATTGTAAAAGTAGGCATGACTAAGCCGCAAGTGAAAAATTAGTTCATAACTACTTGATCGTTGATCATCGTAAAATTTCATTCCATTTTAAGTAACCACAATGCCGAAGCTTGACTGCGGACTCTTAGGCTTGTTCTGTCTGAAACGACTTGACAATACGACCAAAAGAGTTCCTTCCTATTCTATAATAATGTATCCTATCATACCTTTCCGACACCTAAACAAAAGAATGTATATATAAATATATAATATTTTGATTTGAAAGCCGATCTAAATTGAACCGTTTTAATGTACCTGTGTCTCCAATGATAATGTACTTTTTTTCAATATAGGAAATAAGTCACAAGAAGACAAAAAATGAATAAAGCAAATAACAGAAGGTCGACCAATTTCTATCCACGATGATGAATTCATCAGTACGAACCTTTATAATGTAATCGTAAGTATAGCTGTTCGACATTGTGTTGTTACGGAGCCAATATCTGAAAAGAATGGGTAAGGTCTGTTAAGCCGTAAAACTGTATTGCTGAGTTATGAGAATTAC